ACCGCCCGCATTCGAAACATTAGGCTGTTTATACACTACACTGAAGTTATTATGAATACAATACACATTTTAGGAAGCGATTCCTAAAAAAAAAAAATTTGTTGAGAAGAATTATAATTATTGAAAAATTGGTCACGACATTGAGCCGTACTGGCATTTGATATTAGCATTACCTATTATTTAAAAAAAGAATTACTTATTATTCTCGGAAAGAAATGGTGACGAGGTCTAAATATATCTTTGGTAGATGAGGCAAATTTATGTGACAACACAATTTAAATTACGATTGTACGAATATAAAATAAGAAGACGACTCCTCAACGATATGCCTCTGCTACATCTAGGTATGCAGTTTTTTTTGGTTTATTTTTATATAACCAGTTATTTAATATATTAATTTATATACCTATAATGAGACGTAGGTACAATTTCCACTTTTTTATATTTGTTTTGTTTTTTATTTAATTTAATTTTTACTTATATAAGTTAGAAATATTAAAATTAATTCAAAGTTAATTATATAATATGAGACTCGCACATCAAGCTAACCGCATAAGTTGAAATATCACTTTGCTGTGTCGTTCCTCCCTTCCTACGTTATTGGAATAAGACTTATTTACCTATATATGTAATATATTTAAGCGCCTAAAAGGTAATTTCTATAATACTATCATGTACATTAAAAAAATTCAAAGATTTGATTTGGTGGATTAGTTGCTAGGAATACCTAGGAGGCATACCTAACGCATTTTTTTAAACGATAAGTGTTCACATTATCCAAAATACAATGTAACAAATCCAAATAAAGGTAGATACCTTAAAGTAGTAATTATAGCCGTGGCAGCGCAAGCTAAGCGCTAGCTTTAAATTACACAGAACGCGACCAATCCAAGTTTGATTCCCGGCGGCATGTGCCCGGCGGTTAAGGAAAACATTCTGACGAAGCCTACATGTCTGAGGTATTGAGGAATTAACAAGTATTTCGAGAATATGTGAAGCCCGCCAACACGCTCAGGAGCAGCACGTGTTGGACTAATTGCTCTAGTAATGAGGACGCCTGAGCCCAGCCGGGGAACAGGTACAGGAACCAGTAACTTTAGTTTTTACTTTTCTGTCGACGGCTACGTGGCGCAAATTGAAATTCCACACGGAACAAGTGGCTTACAAATAATTGTTCTGTGTCTGGATGTTTGTCCTTGAGAATTTTATGTATGTAAACTGCCACCACGATACAGGAGAAGTTTTTTAAAAACATGAAATGACTTTTACTTTTAAAGTTTTCAAAAAGCGTTCACGAACGAGTGTTTGATAGCGATCTTATTGGTGTAATTTGGATAAGAAAGTATCAGCTTGACCGTCAGCTCGGCCGGCTGTCTTATATTATAACAAGTGGTAGAATTAAACATTTTGTACAACCGACTTCAGTGTAAATAAAATGAGAACATCATCAGTGTAGTCGAAGTCATTTACATACGCGTTATTAAGGATAACTAAAAAACTTTCCGATCAGATTTTGATCAAATTTACATGGGACCATAATATGAGAAGCACCAGCTTTCAAATAAAAAAGAATCATTAAAATCAGATGACCTATAAAAAAATTCAGAGGTAACACACATAAAAATAGGATAGAGTGACAAACGAGCATACAGTCCACCTGGTGGTAAGTGGTTGCTGTGACCCATAAACATCTACATCTATACCTACTCAATAAAAAATCAAAATGCAGATGCGTTGTCCCCTGTGAGAACTAAGATAGAATGCCTCTTTTCCGGTAAAAAAGGGTCTCCGGTTATCTACACACACCATACAAAACACAGCAGCATTAAGCTCATATTTTACGCTGGTATTCGGTGAGAGCGTGGTCCTTCCCCGGTGAAGCCGACCCATTCGTGCCACAACTATACTACTAATATAACTGCAGCATGGCTCTACCACGTAGTACCTCCTGAGTACCTCTTCCTGTTTTTGAAGTCGGCTAAGAAACAGCTTGTCACTAATATTTTCAACTGTCAATAGTTTTAAAGAAAGCCTTATGAGACTACCAAAACTGAATTTTCCTATAATTTACCTAATAACTCTGTAGTCGTATTCGTCGGTACAAAGACTCGCTATAAGTTGAAGAAATAGGCCCTCGACTACAGAAGCTATTAAAATTTACGATCTTTTTTAATAATTTTAAGTAGTTACCCATTTTCATGAGGGTTTTACTTATGTAAAGTTTTACTATTTTAATAACCAACTACACTATCAAGTAGTAAGTTTATTTAGCGTACGGCTCAAAATTGTAAGTTGTAGATAGGTAGGTACCTCGGCCAAGCATAAAAACACAAATGCTTATTATAAACTGGTAGCGCTTGTTTGTTAATCGAATTTCAGGCGGCTTAACGATCGCGCCGTGCAGAATGTACGTTATTATCGTGAACATTCCATTTCTATTTGAATGTTTACGGATGTGTTTAAATAATTTAATCATTTTTGGTTTATTGTTTGATTTCAGATTACACATCAAAGTTTTTAGGAGAAAAGATGTTGAGTTGCATTTATTAAAACAAGACATTCATGACAAAGTTAACTACATAAAACCTTTGATTGACATGTTTAAAGACATAATCAGAATCTGTCCTCTAGTTTCCTTCAAACTAACTATAATATCTATTTTTTTTAGTTAGCTACTAGTTATTAACATTATACTTACATATAATATCTATATAAATGAAATGGAAGCGTCTGTCTGTAATATCGAAATGAATGTCTTGTATTGAACTAAGAGGGTTAGGTGGTAATTTTGTCTTCCTGTCTGTCTGTTCAGTCTAATCTTTGGAATAGTTGAACCGATTGTAAAGAAACTTTCACGAACAGACATAGAGCAATACCAGGAGTGATCTAGGATACATTTTTGAAAAAATGTAGAGAAGTTTTTGAATAACTACTTGTATAAATGGTCTTTGATTACATTAGGTATATATAAGTCTAAATAATGGCGTTACTTAGACTTAAGATTACTTACTACACTAAAACATTAAATCCATACAATAGATCCAAAACCAGGTGCCGCCGGGGCTGGTCACTACGAGTATAGGTACATGTTTTATCATTTGAAAATTGTTTTAGTTACGTGTACAACCATTTCATTACAATAATCATTAGAGCCTTAATAGGTAAATAAACGACTTCTGGTTTATTACATGGACAGCAAGGAAGAGGTTTGACCGCCGTCGGCGCATTTCCTCTTACCTCTATAACCTACCTAGTGCCTACATGCCGCTAGCCTAGGTCATCTAGTTATTGCGTCAGAACCATTTTTAATTAACTAAATTGTACTAGGTTTATATTTAACAGCTCTGCTTTAGCTGTACGATAGTTATTATAAGATCTAGTCAAGTGCACATTGTATAGGTACCTATAGGCTTTTTTATTTATTGATTAAGGGTGACAAGCGAGTACCTACACAGCCCACCTGAAGGTGAGTGGATGCTGTGGGGCATAGACATCTACATTTATTCTAGATTTAGAATCAAAATACAAGTGCGTTTTCACCCCTGAGGACCAAGATGGAATCCCTCGCGTATCCATTAAAAAGGGTCTCCGTTGTCAGCATTGAGCTGTTAATTTACGCTGGTATTCTGTGAGACCACGGTCTTCGGTCGAGCCGACCCATTCGCGCCACAACCATAATATAGCTGCAGCATAGCTCTGCTACGTATAACGTATATAGGTAGGTACGTGTACTTAAAAGTAAAAATCTAGAGCCAACTACGTTAGTACCGTGGTGACCTATTTTGTCCCATGGGTGGGAAAAGCCAGAAAAATCCTATGGATTCTGGTAGATGGCGGGATAAACATCTCGTTTACGCCAGGCGTAAAACACGCAAATAGGCGACGCGACGGGAAGCTGCGTCAAGAGCGCAAAAGTCTGTTAACGACTGCGATCCATCCATCTGCCGAGCGAGGTATTTTCGGACAAATCCTGTCTACAACTACTAACTTTAACGCGCATACAATGTATGATTATTCACTTCCATGTTAATTTTACCACAATTTAGACCCTACTTTTATTTACATCGGGAAAAAACAACTAAGTAGGTAAGTAAGCTAACGTAAGTCAGTAAGTTAGCTGTAAGTTTTCCTAATAGGTACCTATCATACATCATGAATGTTCCCTCTCTGAGGCACTCTATGGGGGAGGTCTATGTTCAGCCGTGGACTTATAATATACATTTTGCTTCGGCAGCTTTCCTAAAAATATATTTGTATGTAGCTAGGTAGGTACTTATGCGTTATTGTCACGGTGTAAAGCCGTGTAATAATATGCACTACCTTATATCGTCCCTTGGATAAAGTAAAAGGCGACAAAAACAACAAACTGAACCAGGAGATGAGCAGATGCGTCTTCCTAGCAAATAAAAAATAAACTGCGGTTGCGAATCCGAATGCCAATGGTGGCAACTGTGGTAAATGTTCCCCCTATGAGGCACATTATGGGGGAGGCCTATGTTCAACAGTGGACTTTTACGCTGTAACGGTAACGGTACGCGTTATGGCTAATATTATATATCTATATATTTGAGAACATTGTAATGTAGGTAATACACCTTCTGAATTAGACAAACTATTAATATTCTTATTAGAATACCGTTAACCGGGAACATTATTCTCCTATTAGGTATTATTAGCAAGCCTTTATATAAGCTTGCCAAGTATGATATATATATATATATATATTATTGCGAATATGAATATAATGGAATTTTTAAATTCAGTTTTCACCTACTTCCAGACATCTGAATTATCTGAAAATTTGCAGACGTAGATTGTGTAAATCATAATTTCACGACTCATGAATTTAGAATAGAGAAGTGTACACTGATCTGTAGTCAAGCTGAGTAAAAAGATTCAACATTGATCACCATAAATTACGTGTTTCTTTAACTTGTAAAAGCTTGCGTAGGTATGTAGTTATCACACATTGTACAATGCGGTATCATCCAGTTTCCCACCTTTTTGCGAGGAAGACTTTTATTTCCCACTGCGGCTGTGCTAGGTGTCAGTGAATCGGTTCGTCGGGAGCACCGGGCACTGCGGCCAGTCACTCAATAGGTATGTATGAAGTACACAGCACTAGGCACTCACTCGCGCGCGCCTGTAACTCGGGGAGCGTAACGCGTGAGGAATGCGTCCACAACGGCACGCCGCGCGAGACTGGCGTGCCGACCCGTCGCCGCCATTGGCCGGCCCCGCCCCGCACCTCCCCCTCCCCCCTCCCCTCCACCCTCACAACCCCTCGCACGCTATTCAACAATTTGCTTTTATTATTTTATTGCGCCTCAGCACAAAAAGCAATCGGACACAGCGCTGTCCAGCGCGACCCTTGCTTATTGCGAATACAACACTCGTCCGGTCTCTCTAATATTTTAAACATTTTAATACAGTTTGAAATTAGGATTTTAAATGTTTACGTTGGTCAGTGTACCTACATATGTAGATATAGTGTGGTTATGGCGGTGGGGACCGGGGATCGATCACAAACGACCGTTGCGGACGAGCCAGAACCGCCCCTTGACACTGCCAACTATTTATTCTGTGGCACTGCGTTCACTCACACAGAATACCGAGGCGACACACTACTTCGCTGCACAGAATAATAGATAGATACTAAATAATGCCTCACGTGTAAAATGATCCAACTTAGGCAGTATTAGACCAATAGAAATCTAACTACCTACCTACTTACTTTTTCAAATTAGCAATAACCTGTTTGTCTAGATATGTCGAATCTACATATAACAATAATGAACAAGTAGGATGTACCTACCTAGTAACTTCTTGGGTAAATATAACCTACCTAATTATAATTCCTGATAACAAAGTCAAAATAGGTATAGGTATTAAAAACTGCACTCACTTGCATCCTTACTACCTAAACAAACTTACTTATTTCCGTAAGAACCTTTTAGATCCACCGTACCCTCAGATCCGGCGCGGCATCAGAAGCGGCTGAACAGAGTAGGTATCTAATAAGTAGATACGTAATACCTATGTAGATAAACGGATAACTATGTATTTGTGATATGTATACGCAGTGAAGTTTATAAAGGAACTACATCTGCGAGGAGAAGGTCCATGTCCAGCACTGTTATGGACTGAGTAACGGATGAAGCTAACTATACAGATAACCCCTAAAGGATCCATTTTACTGGTAACGAGGCAGTCCGTCTTAGGTTTTATACTTACGTGGTAGAGCCATGCTGCAGCTAGATTTATAGTATAGTTGTAGCACGAATGGGTCGGCTCGACCGGGAAAGGACCACGCTCTCACAGAATACCAGCGTAAAATAGCAACTTAGATAATGTTGCTATGTTTCGTATGGTAAGTGTAGAGAACCGGAGACCCTTTTTACTGCAAAAGAGGCATTCCATATTAGTTCTCACGGGTGACAACGCATCTACATTTTGATTCGTAATCGAGGATAAATGTAGATGTCTATGGGCCGCAGCAACCACTTACCATCAGGTGGACTGTGTGCTCGATTGTCACCCTATTTCTAAAAAGAAGGTCTGACAGGGGTGACAATGCATCTTGTTCGTTATTAATCGAGCATAAACATCTACATACCTATTAGGTGTCTATGGGCCACAGCATCTATTAGCCATCAGGTGTTCCGAGTGCTAGATTTTCTACCTTATAGATACTTGTATAAATTATAATATAATGCGATATGACGCGCTTACGTCAGTGGGTTACGTAACAAAAGACTGTCAAGAAAACGTGTTGTAACATTCCGAGACTTGAACACGTGGGCATACCAGGAACAGGTCTTCACGGCTGGAATCCCGCGGCTCGCGGTTGGCATACCGTGCGTACGGACTCCCCTGTGTTGTTTTTGATGCACGCCACAGTAGCGGATCTTTCTCGGTAACTCTATTTCTGCTCCCGCATCTGTGTCAGTGCCAGCGCCGGTTACCATTCACAGCTAGCAGTGAACTGGTCTAGTCCACATACTCGTAATTAAAATATCACTTCCAGTTTATGCTGATTTTAACAATGAGATTCGTTATGTTTTATAAAATAGTAGATAGTAATGGTCCACCCCGACTTCGTGTCTACTGGTAATTTCTGAATGTCGACAAAAGCGCCACTTACCTGCTCCAATTGTGAATGTAAACCATCCTCGAATAAACGTAATCACACACACAAAATATCATCAAAATCGGTCTAACCGTTTAAGAGTTCAGTCACATACACACGGACTGAGGAATTTTATAGGTACCTACATAAGGATTAAAGATTAGTGTTAAAGTCCACCTGTTAATAAGTGGCCAAATGCTCATGGACTATAGAAGCAACTCCAAATGAAGTTAATAGATGTATTGTAATCTTGCAGATCTGTGAGATTTTGCACATCTAATATACCTATAGGCACTTAAAGGCGAAATACAACAGTCAATGAACTGCTGATTCATGATAATTATAACTTATTTAACAATCAAGGATATGAGAGAGGTGTCGCCTACCCAGAGTAGCAGGCGAGTGCGGCCAATAAGCTAGTTTACCTATGCCTTAGGTATTGTGAAAGGTAAAGTACGTACATTCACACGTGATAGAACCATGCTGCAGCTATATTATTCGTATAGTTGTAGCACGAATGGGTCGGCTCGTCCGGGGAAGGACCACGCTCTCACAGAATACCAGCGTAAAATAGCGGCTTATTGCTGCTGTGTTTCGTATCGTGAGTGTAGAGAACCGGAGACCCTTTTTACTGGAAAAGAGGCATTCAATCTTAGTCCTCACGGCTGACAACGCATCTGCATTTTGATTCGCATACGAGGATAGATGTACTTAGATGTCTATGGACCACAGCAACCACTTACCATCAGGTGGACTGTGTGCTCGCTTGTCACCCTTATCCTATAAAAAATACATACGTGGGTATATAGAGTTTAGTACGGGAGGTGATTATACTATATACCTAATATACGTAAGTAAAAGTTCAAGACTGCCTGGGTTTGATTCCTGGGTCGGGTCAAAATCAATTATACGGTTATTCTGTCAAGATATTCTCAGTACCGTTTTACACCTCTGTGCCTGGGAGAGCACATAAAGCCGTCTGTTCCGCGCCTGATCCTTCTCCGGGAATGTCGGTTGCCGTTTCATCGGACTACGAGAGTGAGGGAATTATCTAGGCTCTCGTACACCGCAGATGGCTCATCTCCGCTGCTACTAGCGGCGGTGATCCAAATCGATCTTGAGAACAAGTAAATGTAACATATAAACTAGGTAGGTAGGTACCTATTAGGTAAGTGTAGGTAATAAAAAATATTAAAATGTTTAGGTACTTGTTTACCTATATTGACTCAGTACCTAGCTCATTAGTATTTGCAATGTCATGGCGCGTCTCCACCAAAGTTTTGTTGTCAACACAACATTTGCCAACACGTTTTGCCAACAAATATTTCTGTAATCACCTAGTTTTAGCAACAAAACGAAACAATGTGGGGAATCGTGTTTCCATTTTCGGCGGCAACATCAAAGGAATACGCTTGTTGCAAACATTTGTTCCCTCGGTGGAGACGCTTCTTGGAACATTTTGAAACATTTTCGGAAACAAATGTTGTCAACTTTTGTTGATTTGTCAACAGTTGGAAACATAAATGTTGTCAACATTTTTGGTGGAGGCGCGGCTTCAAATTCAATTCGTATGGGTATTTATGTATGCGCCTCTGCTTACAAATAAAGCGAATAATGTAGTCTTTAATGAATCGCTGGTTGAACACGCAGATTAGATTGCTCAAGCCATCATGGGAAAAGCCATTACCCGGGTTTAATCCAACTGCAAGCTAATCAAGATTGGCTGGTCTATTCCAGTGGCATGTAGTATTGAACATTAATTTAGTCGTAGTCAGGTGACCGTGTAGTGGCGGTGTAAGAATAGGTATCTATTATCATCTCGTGGCTATCGTAAGAGGCGACAGAGGGAAACAAATCAGGACCTGGGCAGCAGCGTCTTCCTAATTACAGCTAAAAATATTAAACTGCTGTTGCCAAGTGCTAACCCGTTTACTAAGTGTGGTAACTAGGTATAGCAAATCTCCCTCTTATGAGCCAGTCGAGGGGCAGTAGACTTTTAATGGGTTATAACGATAAGCGCCCGGAGCGAACCTCCCAGTGCCTCTGTCTACATAGAGCAGTTACGAGGGCCCAATCATTTTATTTTCGCACCAACAAATTTTTTCAGGGTATTTTGAAGGAAACATCGTCGGCTGCGAATGTAACAAAAAACAATGATTATTGTTTAAGATCGACAAAAATGCATTTATTCCATAATAAATCCCTCGACAACGTGAGTGGCTCCGAGATTCTAGGCATATCCCGATTCCGCGCGCTCGGCGGTGAACTTAAGGCTTGACAAGTTTTTACGTCAAGTCGCCTCGGGACGAACGCGGTTGTACCAAGCCACCCGTAAGGTTAGGTGCCTATAATAATATCTATAACTTGATATAATCCGGAACATTTGATGTAACAGATACTTTAATATGGAGCGCTGGTAGGTAAATAAATTTTTACCCGGGAAAGGAAATAATTAGTAATTTAAAAAAAATAGCCGACTTCTAAAAAATACGGTACCTAATTGCTGCATAGTAACTTCTGAAGTCGGTGCTGAAACATGTCAATCGCTTTTTTTTTAAATATAGTATCTATGTACCTACGACGTTTTTAGACGGACTAAAAGTCTAAAACTTGTTTTGTTACTTATTATATTCCACAAAGTTAAGTTTAAAATCAATTATTAAATTCGACCCGAACAAACATACACGGAAGCGAGTTAATAAAACGCGGTTAAACATATACATAGCGCATATTAAAATCCCAACTTCATATGCTATTATGTACAAATTATTTCATCCTTCTCCCGTCAGAGCCTATTTGCAATGAAGTCGACTTTGCTTTTAATTTTTATTAAAACCTCCTTTTGAGTGGGCTTTCACAAACTCTCAAAGACGGTCTTTGTAGTCGACAAAGGTGACAGAGGGAAACAAATCAGGAGATGGGCAGCAGCGTCTTCCTAATAACAACAAAAATAAAAATAAAATGCGATTGTCAATCCGCTTGCCAAGCTTGGCAACTATGGCAAATATCCCCCCTTTGTGGTGGTCTTAGGGGGGAGGCTTATGTTCAGCAGTGGACTTTAATACGCCATAACCGTAACGGTAAAGTTATTATGTGGTTAATTCCAAGTAATGCACTTGGAACTAACCGCACCCTATAACTTTGTCGGCATTTAGTTCTATAAATGAGAACAGTGAAGCGTAAACATAATAATAATCATTGGTCATGTAGGTATTTATTTAGATTAATGAAGGGATAAAACTTTTTCAAAAGATCCGATGATTTAAGCAACTGCTATGGAGCTCGGAACCCATTCAGATCTTAACTGCTTTATCGGCGAACCTGGCAACTCCGAACTTCGTTTGTCCTATGCTTAGCCCCCCTTTTCACATTTATGTTTTCGGTGGGATACGTCCTAATGTTGGGCACAGTTTCTAGTATTTTGAGGTGTTGCAGCATGAAAGTGTCTGCCATAGTGTTCCATTACGAATGAGCGGATTTCAAATATTACATTCAATAATATTCTTGAAATATGATATTCATTTTATTGTAAACTATACAGAATCCGTTACATGTTTTTTAAATGACAAATGAACGTACAGACCATATGATGGTAAGTGGCTATTGCAGGCCATGGATCTCTGCTACCAACCACAAATAAAGAAGGCTATCCTCACAGCCTATTTACTCAGCCTCTACCCTTCACACCGGACCACATATTGCAAGTAGATACTATTATTTTGCGACAGAAATAGGTAATAAGGAGGTAGATATTTTTTTTTTTATAGGATAAGGGTGACAGA